TGGCGGCAACCATAATGGTGGTCGGGTAGATCATGTTGTGCGGAGTCGAGAACCCTCACTCCGCGCATGGGGGATGATCGCACCACGATGTGTTTAAAATGGTCAAGCACCCTCAAGGCAGTTGAACAGTGCTTACAACTGGCTCGGTAAGTGAAGGCAACAGAAAACACATGAAGTCATACGCAGCTGTCATCCGTACGTAAGGAAGCAAGCACAAGATGCCAAACACCCTCAGCAGGATGCAGCGCACCCTTCATGCGACTCGCCGAATACCTCACGGCGCTTCGCGCTTCGTAATGATAGAGCGTGGTCTGTTGAGAACCGGGCGTGATCAGTCCAGGCCTTGCAGGGTTACGAGGTCAATGGTCTAGCGACTATGGCATGCACGACTACAAGCGCACCCCCTCCCGGTGTTGGCCATCGGGGTTGGGTTTTCGTCGCTTGGCAACGAAGTTGTAAAATAAGCCAATTCACTTTGCGAACTCGGCCGCCAGGTTACTGTACTCATTCATAAACATCTGTTGTTGATTTTTGCGGTAGTCATGATGATAGTCGAGTAGATCATGTTGTGCGAGTCAAAGAGCCCTCCCTCCACGCAAGGGTGATGATCGCACCACGTTGTGAAAAAACGGTCAAGCACCCTCGAGGCAGTTTCACAGTGCTTACATCTGTCTCTGGAAGTGAATGCACCAGAGAATTCATGAAGTCATACGCAGCTGTCATCCGTACGCAAGGAAGTAAGCACAAGATGCCAAACACCCTCAGCAGGATGCAGCGCACCCTTCATGCGACTCGCCGAATACGTCACGGCGCTTCGCGCTTGGTGATGTGAGGGCCTGGTCAGGTGAGAACCCGGCGTACTCCGTCCCGGCTTGGTAGGGATGCGAGGTCAATGGTCTAGCGACTACGTCATGCACGACTATGAGTACACCCCCACCCCCCCCCTCGTTGTTTCTCATCGGGGTTGGGTTCTCGTCGCTTGGCAACGACGTTGTAAACCACGCCAATTCACTCCGGCAACTCGGCAGCCAGGTTCCCGTACTCTTTCTCTTACCTCTCTATTGTTTTGGGGCGGCAACCATCATGGTGGTTGAGTAGATTATGCTGTGCGGGGTGAAGAACCCTCACTCCGCGCAAGGGGGCTGATTGCACCACGTTGTGATATCTTGGTCAAGCACTTTCGGCGCAGTTACACAGCGCTTACAACTGCCTCTGGGAGTGAATGCACCAGAAAACACATCAAGTCATACGCAGCTGTCATCCGTACGCAAGAAAGTAAGCACAAG